TGGTGTTTATTAAAGGTAAACTAAATGCACGACCAAATACTTAGCATGTCGGGATAGTATTATAAGGTTTTTCCTGGTTTTTCCCTCATAATTTACTATGAAATCACTAACAGGAGAATTTTACTGTCATCATGGCATGTGTTTGTCTTTTTAAAGACGAATTACATGCTATGATTTTTTCTAACGGATATTCTCAAGTCAAAGTTGACTTCATGTAGGGGAAGTGTGCCTATGTTGGACCCCTGCCTATGACGGACCCCCGGCTGTAATTTTAAATAGCGTGCGGTTACATACACATCGCCGGTTGCCGCTTACGCACGAAGTTTGTAGTTTAGTATTCGCAAAGTTTCAGACACGTGGCTGTTATAACAGTAAATTTGTGAAATCAAATTAAAATTTGGCGTTGCTGATCTAATAATTTTTTTTGGTACGTAGCATTTTACAGGTAACATACGTTAAGCTAAGTGTTGCTTTTGTTTTGTACAAAATGACTACACTTTTTTTGTCAAATACTATACTTTGTTTTAGGTTAAAATGGTCAAAACAAAAGTAACAGAATTAAATTTGCTGCCTTGTCTATTTGCCTATGATGGACCCCTGTGTCGTTACCTATGACGGACTAAGGGTCCATCATAGGAAAAAGAAAATAAAATTGGACACACCTTCATATTTTGTTACTTAATGATTAACATAATATGTTTTATAGGGATGGCTCTACAAAAAAAGGCAACAGTGGAACGAGAGTAATATGCAACAAGCTTTAAAAAGCATACAAGAAAAAACTATTGGGTTTAAGCTGGCAGCAAAAACATTTAACGTTCCAAAAACGACTTTGAAAAGGCGCTTTATTAAGCATCAAGGAAGTATCAAAGGTGATTTGGGAGGACGAAGACCAATATTCTCCACTACTATTGAACAGGAAGTTGCTGACCATATTATTACTATGGAAACTCGTTTTTTTTTTTGGCCTGACTAGTAAAGATTTTCGAAAACTTGTATACGAAGTAGCTGAAAGAAACAATATTAGCCACAATTTTAATAAGGAAACCAGGATGGCAGGCTGGAAATGGGTCAGAGGCTTTTTAAAGCGAAATCCTCGAATATCATTACGCACTCCAGAAAATACTTCGTTGGCAAGGGCTCAAGCTTTTAATAAACCAAATATATGTGCCTATTTTACTGCATTAGCAAATATATTAGACGAGTTTCACTTTCCACCGGAAAACATTTATAATATGGACGAGTCCAGTTTGACAACTGTGCAAAAGAAATCGCAGAAAATTTATGCTAGTAAAGGTCACAAACAAGTTGGTGCTTTAAGTAGTGCAGAGCGCGGTCTACATGTTACGGTCGTATGTGCAATGAATGCAATTGGAACATATGTTCCTTCTGCTTTGATTTTTCCTCGACACAGAAAGAAAGATGAACTTATGATCGATGCACCTACTGGAAGTATAGCCTTCGCTCAAGAAAAAGGATGGATGACTTCCGATATTTTCTATTTGTGGCTGCAACATTTCTTAAGGTATACAAAGGCTTCTAAAACCAACAAAGTTTTGTTGTTACTCGATGGCCATGGTAGTCACAAAAGTTTTGAAGCTCTCCAGTTTGCAAAGGAAAACGGTATTATTATGTTTTGTTTTCCTGCTCACTGTTCTCATCACGTTCAACCCTTGGACGTAGGATTTTTTAGACCACTTCAAATTTACTACGGCCAAGAAATTCAATTATGGCTGCGACAGAATCCAGGTAAAACGGTGACCCAATTTAAAGTAGCCAGTATCTTTAATAGAGCGTATTTAAAAAGTGCTTTACCATCAAATGCAATCAATGCATTTAAAAAGACAGGAATACAACCATTCAATCCAGATGTCTTCGAGGATTGGCAATTTTTGCCGTCTATAACAACAGATAGAGAAAATTCTGAACAAAACCCACTGCCAGAATGTTCTGACCAGAAGTCACCACCGGAACATTGGAGCCAAAATGTTTCTTCGATTGAAAGTTTATCAAAAAGCCCCACTGATCAGAAATCAACATCATCGTCAGTTCTAAACATCTCGGTAGAACAATAAAACACTGAAAACTTTGTTTTCAAACTTCCACAAAATTTATTTTAAATGTTATCACTACAGCTGTTTCGGCTGATTGCCTTTCTCAAGTGATCTATTTTGGCTTGGGTTTACAAATTTATAGTCTCTAATGAAATAGGTTGAGGAGGGGAGAACTGTTTGTCTCAAGTTGGTCATTCAGAATTATATCTGTGTTTTTTAATTTGTTGATTTCCATAGATTCTAACAAAGATAGCTTAAGGCCTTTATTTTGAATGTGAAGAATTTTAAATTTGTCATTAAAAGAATGATTATGATCTAGAAGGTGAAGTGCGTATGTCGAATCTGTTTTTCTATTCTTGAAAGCCCTTTTATGTTCTGCTATTCGTTTATCAAAGTTTCTACCAGTTTGACCGATGTAAGTTTTTGGGCAGTCGCCACATTGGAGTTTGTATACACCACTATTTAAGTGTTTTTTATTTTGGCTCTTGTTATTTTTAATATATTTGCCTAGGTTGTTATTTATATTAAATTATATTGTTATTAATATATTAAAAATAACAAGAGCCAAAATAAAAAACACTTAAATAGTGGTGTATACAAACTCCAATGTGGCGACTGCCCAAAAACTTACATCGGTCAAACTGGTAGAAACTTTGATAAACGAATAGCAGAACATAAAAGGGCTTTCAAGAATAGAAAAACAGATTCGACATACGCACTTCACCTTCTAGATCATAATCATTCTTTTAATGACAAATTTAAAATTCTTCACATTCAAAATAAAGGCCTTAAGCTATCTTTGTTAGAATCTATGGAAATCAACAAATTAAAAAACACAGATATAATTCTGAATGACCAACTTGAGACAAACAGTTCTCCCCTCCTCAACCTATTTCATTAGAGACTATAAATTTGTAAACCCAAGCCAAAATAGATCACTTGAGAAAGGCAATCAGCCGAAACAGCTGTAGTGATAACATTTAAAATAAATTTTGTGGAAGTTTGAAAACAAAGTTTTCAGTGTTTTATTGTTACATAAAATGAATTTCCATCAAGTAACGGTCGAATCCATCAATTATCTCGGTAGAAGATATTTGTCCTCCTCCGTTAGCTGGAGTATCTCAAGTAATGCAGAAAAGGGGCAGAAAACGGGGTAAACAGGATATTTAAATTCAACGCCAGAAATTGAAGATATAAAACAAAAAATTGCAGACAAAGAAGCAAAAAAAAGGAAACAAGACGCCAGAAAAGTGAAAAGGCAAGTTCATGTTTCAACTACAAGTGGTTCTGAAGACGATTGTGAATGCTCTTTTGTAGAAGGCGACTCGGAAGATGCAGCTTGCATCTACTGTAACGAACTATTTTCGCATTCACGATCCAATGAAAAATGGATTCGTTGTCAAGTGTGTAAGAATTGGTGTCACACTGAATGTGCAGATGTAAATCCTCGACATAAACAATTTGTGTGTGAATTGTGCGCGTAATTTTTTTATTCTTAAAAATACCATGTGTAATATTTTTTATCGTTTAGTTTGTGTCTTTTGATCTAATAAGATAATTTGATATTTAATTATTTTACACAAAATGCAACGAGTCCATTATGGGCGTACCAAAGGGTCCATCATGAGCGCATATATGCCCATGATGGACACTGAACAGGATTTTAGTAAATTATGAATAAATTTTTAACATAACTTTTTCTTCAAAATTTGAAACGCTTGCCATATTGTACAAATAACGAGACGTTATGTGGTCATATTTAAAGTCTGCTAAGTAAATAATTAAAATTATTATAAAGCTATTTTCTTAAGGGGACCATCATAGGCACATTTCCCCTAATCGAATGAACTATCTTATAAGTAAAGTCGTCCCAGGAACGCAACTCAACAATATTGGCAATATCATTTTAAAGTCATCTACTTTAAAATGTATGATGTATGTCTGAATTGTTCATACAAATGAGTCAGATAAAATTAAATTATTAGAAGAATTTTTCACTAAGTAACAAAAAAACCAAATTTGTTTAATTTACTGTTTGTATTTTGAGAACGATTTCCGAAGTGGAAATTGAAACGCCAATAAACGTACTTTAACCTTTAATTGTGGCTTAATTTAAGTAGTAATTAATTTAAAATGCCACAAGAAAATAGCTTCAGAACAATATTAAGAATCCCTTCTTTAAAGTGCATTCGTCAGATGGGTTTCCTTCCATTCAAATTAATGCCATGTTATCCTTACACAGTTTGCTGGTATGACCTGATATCAGGTATAAAACAAAAATTTATTGATGATATTCTTGTTCTTGATGTGCCTATCCGTTACGAATATTGGCGATCATCATGGCAATCTTTATCTTATCTGTAGCGGCGCGGAAAAGCTACACAGATGTTGTATTGGACCAGATTCTAAGGTCCTTGAACCAAGATGTTCTTTTTCTTCCTGGTTCCTCGTTTTCCAAATTTTTTTTCTTGCAGGATGGCTTGAAGAAAAGCATATCTGGATTCATTTCGCATAATATGTCCGAAGAACTGTAACTTTCGAGATTTGATGGCGGTAAGTACCTCTCGGTTCTTATTCATTCTTCTGAGGACCTTCTCATTTGTAACTCGGTCAGTCCACGGGATCTTAAGCATTCTCCGATATTGCCACATCTCAATTGCTTCCACTTTTCTGCATATATCTTCGTGAAATGAACACAGATATGGCTTATTGTTGCAACTAATTCTTTAGGGCAAAGTATTTGGAAAGAGAGGACCCGGGAGAAGAAAAATATCTTGGCTTCAAAACCTAAGGAAGTAGTTCAATACGTCTACAAGTCAAGTTAGGATAGCTATGCTGATCTCCAACATCGGATAGGCACCATAAAAAGAAGATTCTTAAGTATAAAATTTAGTAGGTAGTGTATTAATCCGAATAAATTATTAAATATTTTAAAATAATATTTACCTAGTCAACATAACGATAACCACAGCTCCTTGCTCCCAAATTAGCTGCCAAAAGTCAGGGGCTGTATGGGGCAAAGGGCCCTGAGTAGCAATGTAAGCGGGATTCCTGGGATCATGATCCGTTATGCTTGAAGCGTTGATGTAATCAGAGCCGTTGGCGTTAGTCAGTTCATTCAGTACCACACGTGCATGATCGTAAGGTACCACCTCAGGGTACCGGTTATTTTCCTTGTTGTCTTTTTTAGTAGCTACAGTTACCTCGCATGGCTCTGCCACGTAGGCACAAAGAGCGACCCATTCTTGCTCTAAGCGATCTTTATTCTTGAGATGGTCTTCCATGTAGCTCAATACCATATGACCTAAAAGAAAAAAATATTTTATATGAAGATCAATTATTTTAAGTACTGCCAAAGTAATGCCAATGCTTTCATTACATTTAAATTAGCTTAAGATAGCGAAGAGCCCTGAAGTGCGCAGGTAAGGGAAAAGGAAGTACAAAACGGATATGTATGCCTTTAGCAAATCATAACATTGTTTCCAAGTCTTGTCTGGCGGTTTGTTATAACTATCTTATTTAGAATGGAAAAACGATTTCTAATTACTCATTATAATTTGTTATGAACTTTTAACTTTCAGTGCGTTGAAGAAAAGGATGGAATCAAATATGGACAATCCTCAATGCCTTAGGTAACAATAGAGTTAATGAACGATATACAAAAAGGATTAAGTATGTATACGAGAATGCACAATCGCAAGTAAAAAAGAAGAAAAAATAAAAAAGATAAAACTACAGAGAAGAGTTAGAGAAGGGATCCTTTCTCACCCAAGATTTTTTACTTTAGCCCTAGAAGATATGTTTCGAACGTTAAAATAGGAAAATAAAGGAATGATGACAGACGGTCTAATAACTGAACCTTCTGAGATTTGCTGATGATGTTTGCATGAAATGCTATTAAAACTAAATATCTACCAAACGAATTTTTAGATGTAACTGAGGATATAACTCTGACAAGAGTTATATCTTCAGTTACATCTACTGCCCAATATATACACTACTGCCCAAAACTCTATGATTTTTGGGTAGCAGTGTATATTTTAGTTACTTAATTACTCACTACTCGATCAAGATACTAGCATAGTGCGAACTAGGCTTAACCCTTTCGAGTCTGACGGGACGTATGTATCCCAGTCATAAAATTATCAAGTCTGTCTTATCAATTCTAAATCTGAACCGTTTTACATGAATTTTTATCGTAACCAACTTTTTTAAGAACCTAATTAAAAATCTTATGATCACACTAGTCATGACAAACAATCTAGTTCCATCTTTCAATGATTATTGGTCACAAAATGATTATTTAGGAAATTTAGCAATAAAAAGGACGATTTCTCGAGACCGCTGTAAACTGATCCTTGTCAAAATGTATTGCGGTGATATGGTAAAGCCTGACAATGCGAGAAAATCATATTACATCAAGGATTGTCGTAAACTGACATTTCCAAAATATCAAACAGAGGTGGCTTTTCAAAGCTTTGATGAGTCAATGGCAAACTTAAAGAAACGTTTTCCCTAAAACAGTTCCTACACATGAAACGCATCAAACAGGAAATAAAGACATGGGTACGAAACGACTCTGCAACAGAATATGTATACGATTTTAATATATAATAACAAAGAAAAGGAAACAAGAAATTATACTATTTTATTATTGGGAAAAAAGTAGTGACGAAATTAGTTAGTACTATAATGGGAACTATTAGAGTACTTGACTCTATCTTATCCAGCGATAGGAAAAATAATTGCAACGAGAGTAAATGTAACTAAATTTGTTGAGAAGTTGAATCGTGGTGACTCAAAATTCAGAGTAAATAACCAAGGCATCATAGTTTGTAGATGGTAAAATACTAAAGATTTGTGAGCAGTAAGCAATTACTTTGAGGATAAGCAAGTAGAAGTGAAAAGAAAAACAAGGAATGGCTATAAAATTAATGTGCGATGTTCTGAAGTTCTCGACATGTACAATTGAAAATGGTCGGCTAGGACCTAGCATAGCAAGTCTACCAAATGGTGTATGAAAGTATTTTTTCGCTTTTTGATGATGGCTGTTGGAAATGCTGATGAACTACATATTGTCTAAAAAAGAAAAAAAAACACCATTTAGCATTTTCTAATTAGTGTAGCTGGGGTACTTATTCATTGGGGAGAAGCCATGCTGCTGTTAAAAAAAATCTTCGATTTTTCGACTTCACTACAGCAAAGAAACAAAAAAAATGTTCAACGTGGGAGATCATTTACCTATCGAAGGAAAGACCCGTAGAAGATGTCAACGGTATTCTTCTAAGAAAAAAGAAAAACGAAGCACCACACTATGTCAGAGATGCATGGTACCCTTGTGCAAAACATGTTTCACACATTTTCATTGTCATGAAATATTGATCTTAGTTTTAGTCAGTTTGTTTAAAAATATGGTGTTTTATTTGTATTTTCGATTTTTCTTTACTATAATAAAATAATAATTTGGTGTCTAATGGGTTATGATAGTCCCATATATATATATATATATATATATATATATATATATATATATATATATATATATATATATATATATATATAAGTTAAGAAACCAGAACTGCTAATTCAACTATAATAAAAGGACAGCGTCAGCACGCTACACCTCGGCGTCACCGAGCTTACTTAATTTACTTTTGTATTGTATAGCGTCACTCTTATTTTGCATTTTACTGTAGTAAGTAGTCCCTTGTCAATAAAGTTATTTTTTAAAAATATTGTTCTTGGACTTAGAAACATCATTGGCGCAGTCAGTACAGATTTTCGGGAATTACGCTAAACGTTACAAAAATCGAACGGCTTCGCGTAGTTTTTCGTTTTAACGATTCACCGAAAAAACGAACTTTTTGTGAAAGTGTCCAAGATCAACTTTAGACAAGGTATCACCAAGACCTGGGGAAAGAACAAAAATCGTCGAACCCTAGAGGCAGTAGATTTAAGCAGTAGTTTCAACGAGACCTGGGAGAAGAACAAAATCGTCGAATCCTATAGGCAGCAATGTTGAAAATCTACATTTTAATGTAAGTGTTTCCTATTTTTTCCATTTTATTTTCCATTTTATTATTTCCATATTTGAAAATACTTATAGTCAGAGAGCTAACGAGAGCAAACAATTTTTTAAATGTTTTATGATTTTGCAAGATATTTTTAATAAGAACAAGATTATTATTATTATATTATATTATTATATTTTTTGACAATATTTTATTATATTGAAGTTGAACGTTCTATATTGAAACATATTTTATATTTTATTAAAATTTGATATATTATCTGAATAAATATTTAATGAGCGAAAGTGATAGCAAATTAGATTTAAGTAGCCTTGTAGCAGAATTAAATTCAATTTTAGAAACAAATAGTAATACAAATAACGAAATGGCTCAAACGAACTATCAATTATTAAAACTTTACTTAGATTCCATCCCAACATACGATGGTAATCCACATACCTTAACCATATTTATAGAAAATTGTGAAAATTTAATAACTAATTTTGCTAGTCAAACAGACGGCACCTTGAATACATTTTTACTTCGAGCTATATTAGGTAAATTAAATGGAAGAGCTCAAATGTTAATAGGTTCTAGGACAGAATTAAATACATGGCAACTCGTAAAAGATGCCCTTAATCTTAGTTTTGGAGACCAGAGAGATCTCGATTGCCTTATTCAAGACCTAATAACGTTGAGGCCTTTCAAAAATGAAACCCCTTATAATTTTGGCATGCGATGCCAAGAAACACGTAGTTTAGTAACACAAAAATTAAATACGCTTAATATTAATACACAAGAGAAATTAATTAGAATAAACAGTTACGATGACTTATGTTTAAAGACTTACATTAGAGGCTTACCCTTATCGTTACAAACAAATATAAGATTAAGAAACCCCGACAGTTTAGAGAAAGCTATGAGCTTCGTTATCGAAGAAGAGAATTTTCTATATTCGTTACAACGCGGAAATAATTTAAACTCACAAAATTCTTTTAGACCCTCATCGAGACATAATCCTACGAAAAACAATAATTCTAATCGAACTTTTATTCCTAGAAATAATTTACAACAAAATCGCCCTAATATGAGATTTCCACCTTACCAATATCAAAATATCAGACCGCAATACCTAAATAATAATTTTAATCCCAACAATACCTTTCAGCCACATCAAAATCAATTCCGAAATTTCAATAATTATAATTCTAACTTTAATCCAAGGAATTTCGACAATAATAATTCTAATTTCCGACCAAGGAACTTCCATAATAATAATCCTAATTTTCAACAAAGAAATGTTAATAATCAATCCCAAAATCAAAATCAATACCAGCCAGAACCGATGGATACAACTTCACGAAATACTTCTTTAAGATCTAGACCACATTTTACCTCCACGCAATTATTTAATCAACAAATTAATAACGATCAAATACAATTCGAAAACCCCTTTGAAAATAATATTCCCACTGATTACGTACATCCAACTCAAGGAGCTAATGAACTTCCTTACGAGAACATTTATGAAACTCAATCCAGTCCTTATCGCAATCCAAATGAAACAAAAGAAAGATCATATCACAATCCCACACAAAATGTTGAAAACAGAAATTTTTGCATGGCCCAAGAAAACTACAATCCGACATAATATATTTAAATACAACGATAGCAGATTTACCACATATTATTATTCCTGAACTCAATGCTAGATTTTTATTAGATACAGGGTCTTCCAAAAGTTTGATATCTCCACAGTTAGCGCATAAATTTTATAAAAATTTTATTTCTTACGAAAATTTTAATATACAGACGGCTCACGGAATTTCTATGCACAATGAAATAATTAATATTCCAGCTTTTAACATTTTTAAAGTAAATCAATATAATAAGTTTTATGTTTTTAAATTTAGCGAAAATTTTGATGGATTAATTGGTATAGATTTATTACAAAAATTAAAAGCTTCAATTAATGTTAACACGCGACAAATGAAAACGCCTTATGTAACGATACCCATAATTTTTGAACCCAGTAAAAAGGATATATTATATCCCAAGTCAATTTTAAATCATACAATAGTTATTCCTCCTAGAACTAAGCAAATAGTCAAAATACCGGTAAAATTAAATGTAGGATTAGGTATATTAGAATATAAGAATTTCGGTAAAGGAATCGAAATGCCTAAAGCAGTAGTTAATGTAAAAAATAATTTTGCTATAACCACTATTACGAATATAAGCGAATATAAGACAACGTTAACTATTACTGAACCCTTTGATATAGAACCATTAG